CAGCTGTTTCAATTAAACAAGTTGGTTCTGTTCTATGATGTTCAATGGCATTAAAGTTACAAGGATTACCAACAGGGTGCAGCACTATTATTTCTTTTACATTTATGACAACAGCTAATTTGCAACCAAAAGGTGAGTGAGAGTAGCGAACGAACTTCAACCTGGAGGCGAGTTAGCGTAGCGAACGAGCTAACCTGAAGGCAAGTGAGTGCAGCGAACGAGCTCCAACCTAAAGGTGAGTGAGCGTAGCGAACAAACTTCAACCAGGACGTGATTGAGCCATGCGAACGAGATAATCTTGAAAATTAAGAAGTTAAACGGGACAGAGCCCGCGGGTTACAGCTATTTGAATATAAATATATCTTCTCTAGCTGCATTACGTCCAAGTACTGAAACAGTGGTGCAGCTGAGTCAAATTTCTTTACACCACAAATAGTTTTTAATGTAAGCTTTTGCATTATTACAATTGGTTTAAGTATTGTTGAAAACGTCCCTCCCCAATGAATTAAACCATACTTAAGAGTAGATTCAAACCAGGATAAATAGCGTTCTAAGAAGTTTAGGAGTAATAAACTGTCTCAAATGAAAGAAATTATAGTTAATTTTTCTACGTTTTTTACATAGTTGATTAACATGTGTATGCCATTTTAAATCTGAATCTATATGAAGGCCAAGATACTTGACCGAATCAACAAAATTTATTTTTGTACAGCAACAATCACGAAAACAAGTAACTAAATGACAACGTAGATCGATCTCTTCTTTCAACGACTCTGTCAAATGAGGTTTGTAAGTAAATATCATTGCATTAGATTTAGAAGTATTGACGATTAATTTGTTTCTTATCACCCAATTTGATATTACGTCCAAATCATTATTAATTTTCATCCTCAGTAAATCATAATTGTTAGCACTGCATACTAAAGATGTATCATCAGCAAAAGCATATATCTTCGATTTTAAATCCATTGATAACATGTCATTAATATAAATTGTGAATAAAATTGGTCCAAGCACTCCCCCTTAAGGGACGCCAAGCCTTTGAGAACATACATCTGAGTAAACGTTTTTTATTTTAACCATCCGTTTTCTTTCATTTAAAAAAGTCTCAAACCACTTAAAACTATTTCCCTGAATTCCATATAACTTTAGTTTATGTAATAATATGTCTTGATTAACTAAGTGAAATGCCTTAGTAAAGTCAAGATAAACTCCTATTGTTGGTTTACGCTCATCAACATGATTAACTATCTCGCTTATATGTCTTTCAACTGCTAGGTCAGTATTTTTACCTTTCATGAACCCAAATTGATTATTTGAAAATAAATTGTTATCTGAAAAATATTTTACTAATTGGCTTTTCACACAAGTTTCTAACAGCTTAGCAAAGGTATTTAAAAGTGATCGGTCGGTAATTATTCATTTGCAATGGATCAGCTGCCTTATATACTGGAACAATGAGTGCTGTTTTTAGACTAGAAGGAAAGTAACCTAGCTTTATACATAAATTAAAAATGTGACGTAATATTGGGACAAAAATCTTAACATTTTCTTTTATAGTATTTATGGAAATACCATCAAAGCCAACAGACTGTTTATTTGGTTTGCTTAAGATTAAACTTTCTAATTCTACCTCAGTAATTTCAGATAAACGTAACCTTGAGCTGCACGCTAGACCGATATCCGGCATGGCGGGGAATCCCGGCCCATACAATTCTCTAATCAGCTTATCCGGCATACCAGTAAAATTGTTATTGAATGAGTCAGCAACTATTTTTTCATTACCCTCAACCTGTACAATTTCATCATCTATATTAATCGATGTTAGTTCATTTTTTGACTTTCTCATAATAGATTTGCATATATTCCAATAAGACTTTGATGCAGCCCTTTACTGCTTCAATTTTAGATGAGTAATAATTAATTTTTTCCCGTCTTTTCAAATTAGAACATTCTCTAGAGAGTTCTTTATATCTATTAAACAAATGTATGTCATAGTGCTTTTTCAATCGAGAGTGAAGTCTGTTTTTTTCATTTATCTTTTTAATTAGTGTGTCCGATATCCATGGAGTTCGATGCCTATTTTTACTGTTAATAGGCCTTAAAAAACTTGATTGCTCAATACATTTATTATAAATATCGTAAAAAACTGTTAGAGATTTATCAACATCCTCACAATCAAACACTGGCATCCAGCTCACTTCAGCCAACCTTCTTTTTAAAATTGAATGATCTACAGCCTTGACAAACTCCTCTTTCAAAGCACTATCACAACTTGTTACGCAATTTACATTAACTCCAGCATGATCAGTAAAGTCATAGTTTTCTAAATTACTATGAAAAATTAAATTAGTCTTACTTCTGATGAATACATGGTCTAAACACTTTACCCAATTTTCTCTCCCCCAAGTTGGCTCATTTATAAACGACTCAAAACCAAATGAGTTCATTATACTTAAATAATCAATGACACTGTTATTTTGTTCTAAAATGCATAAATTTATATCTCCTAACATAATAGCTGTGTTTTTACAATTACTCAAAATACGTTGCAAATCATTGCGGAAAAAATAAAAATCATATTTATAGTTTCTATACAAAGCTATTAAGTCAATTTCAAAAGGTTTATCATTTATGGTAAAAACTAATGTCAGTTTAATTAATTCAACTTCACGTGACTGAAAGCGTTCATAATTTAAAGTTAAATGATTAGAAATATAAATTACCACTCCACCAGTCTATGTGTATAAGTTGAGACACGTTTGTAGAAAACACTAAAAAGGCAATCTTCTAAACAATTTTAAAATATTTACAACTTTAATTATATAGAAATGTTCATAACACAGTAAGTAATTCCATTAGTTGCATAAGCTTTTACGTGAGTCTTTTTAATTAATTGAAAATTAAGTCTGTAATAACTCTTAAAATAGCTCCTGTACCGGTACTTAATAATTGCTTGATTTCTAGCAACGAGTACACAAGTTAAAAATTCAACAATGCATTAACATAACAAGCTCTCTTTCACGCTGCAAGACTAGTAAACGGCAGAAGTAAGGCAGAACGGCAGAACTGCGGTATTGGTTTACCATACACGCCTGCAACGATGCGCTGCAAACCGCGCGACGAGTAGCTAAATGAACCGTAGAGTAAGTGAGCCTTCTAATATTTGTAGAGGGTTCACTTACTCTACAGATCATTGTGCCAATGAACTGTAGAGTAAGTGAGCCGTCTTCTATTTGTGTAATAGTTATCATGAAATAGGCTCGTATAGTATACGAGCCTACTCCTGTAATTTATTTAAATTCAGTATTTTGGCTCGTATACTATACGAGCTTATTCCTGAATTATTCAAGAATTCATACGCTTGGCTCATAGGCACAATGATCTGTAGAGTAAGTGAACCCTCTTAATTTATTTGATATTTTTGATCGGCTCGTATAGTATACGAGCCTGTAGTGCAAGTGAACCTTCAATATTATTTACGAAGCTCGTATAGACTATGATTTGTAGAGTAAGTGAGCCATGTGTTTTAAGAATTACATATTTGGAGGCTCATTGTGTCAATGATTCGTAGAGTAAGTGAACCCTAACCTTTACATTAACGACCAACCGTTGCCAAACGCTACACGTCAGTATATATGCCGATGATACGGCGGTGGCGGCACAAGGTAGGAGTTTTGAAGAGGTGGAACAGAAGCTGACTATGACTCTAAATGAACTTTCCCAGTACTATGACGCAAATCACCTCAAGCCGAACCCTGCTAAGACCCAAGTTTGCGCCTTTCACCTAAACAATAGAGAAGCAGGCCGTGAGTTGAATGTGAGGTGGCGGGGAGACCGTCTTCAGCATGTTGTCCTACACCCAAATATCTTGGTGTCATACTGGACCACACACTGACATTTAAGGCGAATTTTGTATTGCGACAAGAGGTTAAGTCTCAGCGAGGAATAATATCATCAGGAAGCTCACCAGCAGATGCTGGGGTGCTAACTCTAATGTCCTCAGAAAAACCTCAGCTTTAGCGCTCACTGCTCAGTGTGTCGGCTGCGGAGTACGCTGCACCAGTATGGAATGCATCGTCACATTCAAAAAAGGTTGACATTGCAGTCAATGACATGGCTCGGATTGTAACTGGGTGTTTGAAACCAACCCCAGTACACAAACTCTATCCTATCATAGGGATCGCCCCTCCATCAATCCGACGTGATGTCGCTGCCGACGCAGAAAGGACTAAGCAAGAGACAGACCCTCGTCACCCATTACACGGCCACCAACCTGCAGAGCGACGGCTTCGGTCCAGAAAGAGCTTTTTATCACGGACACGAGTCCTGGATGGATCACTCTCAAGCAATCGGGTGGCAAGGTGGGAGGCCACGTTGACTAACCCTCCCATACCAGCCAGGGAGGAACTGGCTCCTGGTGGAGGCCTTCATTACACGGTGTGGAAGACCCTAAATCGAATAAAGGTCGAGGTACCAAAATGCAAGACAAACATGCAGAAATGGAGTATCTTACCAGACGAAGAAAACATCTTGTTCACGTGTGGTGCTGTTCAGGATCCTGGCAATCTGCTGATCTGCCCACGCCTAGACCAGTCTTGCACATTAGATGATCTTTTACATGCGAATGACAAAGCCATATCGGTAGCTAATTTTTGGAAAAGCGAAGTCTGATTTCCGGACACGGAAAGTAAGTAAGTAGTAGAGACATAGATAAAACATACTCCCGTATTGGTTGGTCTATGGTACAGCTATTTCAAAATTTCTATTTATACTTAAAATATAGGAGGATTTTTATATACTTAGCACGATTATTTCCGAGTAACAAAGAAGAACACTGTTGACTGTTGGCAACATTGTATTCAAGTTTTAGTCCAGTTGACTTTTTGTTGAGTGGGTGGAATCTGGAATGGAAAGAAAGAGCTGAAAGAAGAGAAGAAGACTGCTGAGTGCTGAGTGCTGACTGAGACCGGGACCGAAGTGAATGTGAATGACGAATGTAGTCGATGTCGAGGCTTGAGGGGGGGTCAGAAAATGAAAACAGATTTCTGTTCTTCTGCTGACTGACATCATAGTCGCGGCAATAAAAAAAGAAATCGACGCTCTTTTCTTTGTTCATTACCAACATTTTGACGGAGTTTATCGGCCGTGTTTTGTGATACTCAGTTGTGTTCTGTAAATAATGGTGCATAAGCAGTGTAGGCTTTAGTGGAAAGTTTTATAAATTATTGAAAGTGTTGCATTAGTGTTGTGCGGTGCTGTTTTTTGCTCATGTTTAGGAGGATTTCTTCCCCTGGAGATAAACTCTCTTCTTGTGTTAAGTAAGTAACTTATTGTGTTTGAATCAAAACGTCATAAGTTTAGGAAGATTACTTTGTTTTCGTACTGTAGGCCTAAACTGAAGTTTTTGTTTGTCTAGCTGCTAGGCTAGGGCAAGTAGCTAGATGCTTTAGGTTTTTTTTTATTGAATTGAGGATTTTTATTTGCAGTTCACTTTGAAGGGCTAGTTAGTCAACTATGCAAATGAACACAACCCCAACCCAAAGAGTAATTCTATTCCTATATTTCTTCTATAGAGGCTTCTCTATTAGGGTTATCAGGTAGGACAGGTTTATATATTGTTGGACTACTGGTACTCTCATACATTCTGCTAAACACAATGCTACTGGAAGTGTAAAGTTGTTTTATTTCATCATAATAAGGCCTGTAACTTAAAATGATGAGATTGGATGATAATGTATGGCTATAAATCTTTTAAACTTGCGCTATTTTAATTTTCCTTTTTAGTTAGATAGGGAAATCCCCCAAGGCTACGTTACATACAACCTTTGGCTTTTGATACAACTAACTTAGACCATCTTAAGTTGATGTTAACTTTAAGCTGTCACCAGTTTTTTAATCAAATTTGTCGTAGGCAACATAATTTAGTTGATGCAAGGCCACACTAAAAAAAAACAGGACATAGGGCCTAATGCTTGTCAAGCATGACGTCACGATAGAAGACGGCAATGAGATATTATTTACCGTTTGTTATCAGCTGCTTGTTTTAATCTTTCCTTGGAAAATAAATAAATAAATACCTACGACATTGCCATCTTCTATCGCGACGTCATGCTTGACGAGCATTAACTTACGGCCTTTTTCTTTAGTGTGGCCTTGGTTGATGTGAGTCACAGAAAGATAAGTTAGCACAGCCATTCCATGCAATAGCCTAATAAACCAGAAGTTAGGGTTAAATTCAAATTTTTGTTTTAAGCTCACAGTTTATATGGTACTTGGAAAAGAAAGGTCAGAAAATTTACATAGGCTAAGTTTATGTACAATATATTCAAAATATGTAGGTAGGCCTACATGGTTTTTTGATATTTATTAGTTTAAACGCCTTCAGGATGTCCCGTCCGTAACAATGGAATGGGTGAGCGCTGATCTTAATGACTAAGGTAGGGTCAATATAGCCTAATCATAAACGATGTTTTCTACCAAGTCAAACTTATGGAATGACTTATAAGGCTTACGTGGCCCATTTACTATGTCAGCAACAAAAAAAATGTAAGGTAATTTCTGTCAATATATCCTAATCCTAAACGATGTTTTCTACCAAGTCAAACTTATGGAATGACTTATAAGGCTTACGTGGCCCATTTACTATGTCAGCAACAAAAAAAAGGTAGAAAATAGAATTTGGTAAGTTTAATAGGCCTTCTGAACTTACTTGTTACTTAGGCCAGCCTATATTTGGACACATTATTGTTAAATATTTACATTGTGGTGGATTACATTTTAGGCCTAAGCAAGAAAATACTGGCCGAGACAGTTCAATTTTTACTCTTTGTTGCCATAAATAAAAGGTTTGTTTACCTCATTTTCGGAATTCAACATACTTTCAGGAACTTATTGGAACCTGTAAACAGGGCTGTGAGACTTAGCTCCAGACATTATTTAGATAAGATTCGTCAATTCAATTCCCCCTTTGCCATGGTCAGCTCTGAGCCAGCTTTAGATGAGAGGATCACATCTCCCTGAAGGGGATCTACAATTTCAAGATCCATGACATGTTTTACCACCGAATAGCCTAGGTCATCTAATTCCCCAAGAAGGTCATGATCCTGAATACGAACAGATTCATAAGTACGACGTTGGCACTGGAACCCAACAGAGAATGAATCATAATTCAAACAAAAAATGCAATAAAACATATGTGGGAAATAGGGTTACAATGCCAACCCATTTGCCCAATCTTTTAAGGCTGTAGCAGAAATTTGTAGGGACGAGAGCTCCAAGGAGTCAATTGAGATTCTTATGTAGGTACATAATAAGATACAAAAGAAGTGACTTCCCTCACTACAATGATGTTACCTGTATAGTTGTCGCAGCTATTTTTAAAGCTGAAAAGAAAACAGAGCACCACCTGGCCAAATAAATCTTATAGCCTAGTTTTTTTTTTTAACAACCAACTAATAATGTTAAACTCGTTTCCGTTCTATATCCGACGTTAGATCCACTTGCTTACCCTCTTATGTTCCAAACCGGAGACTTAGATTGGGGTCCCTATTTAAACACGCCTAAAACAGAGCATATCGAAAAAATAATTTAACAATGCTATACCGGTAGGCCTAGTACGTGTCGTACTGGTTGGCGTCAAGAGAGGAGTTTAGCTTGCTCCATTAGGTCTGAAAAGCTCACTTTACAGTGTATGGTTGACATCAGCTACGTCCTCATACGGCACCCGCCTACAGTACATAAGAGATAACCAAAGCAGTATGAAAGTTGATCTATATTTAGGGCTAATTAAATATTGTAGACTTTTATAATTTTTTACAACAAAATATTTTTAGTACTTCTATAATCAGTCATAGAAATTACTTTAGAGTAATTCTTTAATTTCAAGTCTGCTGTTTATGTTTTTGTTCTTTATTTTATTATTACAAGTTGCAGTTTTACTCGATTTTGATCAACGGGTTATCTAGTAGGGAATAAGCTATTAACCGAAGGTCTCATGGTAAGACCTAGACCCGGGACTGATTTTTTAACTTTTTGAGATCCCCAGAGGCCAAAAACACCGTCCGTTCAAATTCATATAGGCTAGGCTATACCTTATATATTTATATAATTATTTATATATTTCTATCTTAAGTTTAAATATAGGATAGGGCCTAAGATATATAAGCTAACTTATATAGGTATGTGTGTGTCAGTTAGCTCTATATAACTCGAGCAATAATTATCTGATTTTGACAAAACTTAATACCGTACAAACGTAAACCTTCGATTATTCAAACGAGTTCGCAAACCAGCATAATTTTTTGGACGTTAGGAACTGGAGTTTTATGGTCTAAAAATTTATTTTTCCATTTTGACCCTAAAAACGCCTAATTTCATTATTTCTCTCCTAACCATTTTGTAGAGCTTAAAAAAATTAATTTCATTGAAGCATTGTTCTAAGTTAGGCCTGTGGGCAACGGTTAGGCTACAGAGATAATTTTAAAAATTGTAAATTTAAGATTCCCACAGTTATCTTTATGGAGAATAAGTAAACAGTTAGTTGAAGTCCTAGTTTGCTTGTTTGTGAATACATTTTGATCAAATTTAGAAAATGCATTTGTTTCATACTAAGTTAAACTACACACCGGTAGCCTATGGTAGGCTAATAAGGTTTTAAACAAAAAAAAAAACTTTTTAGCCATGCAAACCTAAGTAGGTAGCCAACTTGTTAAAACGCTATTTATAAGGAATAAATGCAATCTTTTTAAGGGGGTACTACTTATTTTAGTGTAAATCCAACTAGGCAAATAGAAATTTGTTTTTAAACCAAAATAAAGCTTTTCTCTGTGCAGTAGTTCAAATTGACCTAGCTCAATTTACAATTAGAAATTTGTTGATAAATAAATATTTGAATTATTATAGACAATAGCCCATAAAGCAGTGAATTTGTGGTTGACATTGGCGCCAGGATTCAAGAACTGACCACATATACATGCAAATAAGATAGGGAGAGTAGTACATGATCGTTACTGTACCATTTGTTGTTGGATACTGTATTGTGAAACATGTTGGAAGTAACAGTCCCACTCATACTCCCACCTCTTTATGTAGGTAAGCCATAAGATTTACTGTAGGCCTATAACAGCGTTTCCCAAACTATGAACCCATCAGTGGGTTGCGGGAGCAATTTTGATGGATCGTGGGAAGAGACCAAACATAAAACATTTGTTATTAAGACTTGTAATAAAAAAAAATATAGTTGTATATAATAGTTAAAAATCGGTAATAAATTACCGAACGTACCGAACACCAGAATAATACCCGAACGTACCGAGCACCAGAATAATACCGAACTTGTTAAAAGGGATGAACTTTTAGAAGGGACTAAAAACTGATTTCTTAATCCAATATCCCACACAATACAATTGCAATCGCTATGATATACCAAGGTTCCCGTCCCAAAATAATCCCGAAATCATCATATTGCCAGAAAAAATAAGCTTTTAGAATTTTCAAGAGTTTCAACATCCCTAGGCCTACCATTCAATACTCAGTCAATTTTTTACACTACGGCGGGACGACCGGCAACGGACCAGCTTCCGTCGTTTGTTAACAAGTCCGAGAGACAGAACTCTAGGACATTTCCGAGCTGCCGTACCGTACAGACAGGACTCCGCGCACCGACCGGGCGGGCGGCACGGGATTTCCGCCATTCTCCGCCGGTATCCGTCAAAGTCGGACTCACAGTTTTAGCTCGCCGACTGTCCTAAATTGCGGATGTGAAAAATTCCGTCCGTCCGTGCAGTGCCGCCCAGTGCACGCGTTTATAGGGGAGATAAGGACCGATCCGACCCGGGTAGCTGATAGGCGTGCGCACCCTACGGTATATACACTGTAGTGTGTATGTTTGACATGGGTCCCTGGCTCTTTACCGCTAGGCATACATGAAGATGCTAATATGCAAGTTAACCCCCGTGAATTAATTTAATTGTGAAATTTAATTGTTAGTGTGATTGAGTGGGGACCTTTATATCTAAAACTCAAAAGTTTTCTCAATTCTTGCCATAGCTTGTCAAAGTAAAAAGCGTTTTAATTTTCACTATAAAGGTTAGCCTACATTTGATGACAATAATTAATACAACAGTCCGACCGTAGGGCAGCGAAACTCATTAATATATTGTATATCGAATGCAACAGTGTAAGAAATTGCAGCGAAGGACGTCGAAGGCATTGTAATTTCCTGTCATGTTGATTATTAAACAGCGGAGGAACGAAGCCATGTTGGCGGGCTCAAGGTCCAAGGTGGCTGTATTGTTCTACAGTCCTGTCATAATGGGTT